TGGGGGCCGGGATGGCCCGTAAGGCCAGGCCGGGAGCGGGGGACAGCAGCCCCGGGCGCAGCGCACGCTGAGGAGATGGCTCTCCCCTCAGAGCTGTCTGAGAGGGGGCTGCATCGCCAAACTCCCGCTTCCAGGAGTTGTGCAAGGAAAGCTAACCCAAAACTCATCCTTAAATTGGTTGCATGGAGGACTCACGCCACACCGTAACCTTGGGGGGGTGTTTTAATTTCCTACAGATGAGGGATTAGAGCCCCAGGGTCAGGATGGGGACAGGGAAGAGCCAGCGATGGATGCTGTGGTGACTGTCCCCATGCCGAGATACACCCAGCCGCCCGACACCCAGCATCGCTGCGTGCTGCAGCTCACAGATGAACCCAGGTTGATGCTGTTTTGTGGAAGAAAACCCAGCCTTGGGGGTTCCAGCCCAGCAGGCTTTAGTGGGAGCGAAGGATAGATACACAGCAAGGGGGAGGAGATGGTGCCTGAAAAGCCCAGAAGAGTTTAAACTGCCTGTGCTACTCTCCTCAGCTGTGATCAAGAATCAAAACGGCAGCACTGAAACCAACCATAGTCCTGCTCGGTGCAGGAGAGGAGCTGCAGCTCAGTCCCAGCAATGCTCCAAGCTGCAAATAATAATTTACAGATTCTACCTCTGAGATTTCAATCCCTAACTTCTAACTGACTTAAAATGTAGGTTTTAAAAACAGGGAACTTAGCACATCATGGGGCTCGGCGCTCTTCACAACAGTCGTGGCAAATTATCAAACTCTTTGTTACACAACCTCCCTTCAGAGATACAGCCTCAAACCGCTGCATTTGGCTGAAATATCCCACTGCCTGTATGAAATAGCTCTGAACACTGCAACTTTTCATGATGATTCAGCCCAAAGGTATTTAGTGGAGATGTATACGCTTGGAAAACTCCATTTTCCCTCATTTTTGGTCCTTCAGTGCTTGCAGGTCACGTGAGGTCTTGTAAATAGAGGCTTGGCTCAAGACCTGCTGGCAGGGGTTTGTTTTACACACAGTCTGTGCTTATTTTATCTGTGTGTCTTTTTTTTGTATCTTTGTTTGTGTGAAAGAGTCAGGCCCAGGGAACAAGTTTTCCTGACCTTCCTACCTCGCAATCACACCTCTTCCTGCCTCTTTCTGTTTCATAAGGAAAATTGGCCACTTGCTTATGCCAGCTTACACACTTGTACTGCAACCCCACTTCGAGGGTTTAAAATGCATTTTATAAATACAGTTTAAGCTTTCTCATCCCTGGAGTGAGCTATCCCTCATCCGTAACGGTAGCAAAGCAAGAGGCACAGAGGCACAGGCAGTGTGCTCGGTGTCACACGGCAAGTCAGAAAGAGTGCGTAGGAGAATTCTTTGCAAGTCCTGCAGCTGTAAAAAAAGTTCTTCATCCATATGAAAAATGCATGAACCCACCTGAGATTGTCATCTTAGATACTTCAGCAGACCTAGGAGGGAAGCTGCTCCTGGCTGGGGCATGGAGTCACTATTTATTCAGTGGTATGACCAGAACCAGTTTCTTTGCAACATATTTAAAAAGCAGGGAAAATACTTTTAAAAGCCCTTTATGGAAAAGGCTGCTGGCTGGAGACATTTGTTCCAAAAAGAAAAAGACATCCCCATGGTTTACCTCCAGGCTAGCTCTTATCAGGGTCTTCACCTATCACCACGCCGCTTCTCCTGGCTGCAGTCGGATCTGAAATGCTCTGTAGCTGGAAAAGAGCTCGGAGCAATCTCTGGCTGCTCTCACAGCCAAACATCTGCTCACCCAAACAGCATTCCAGGCATGCGTTACACCTCCCAGCTTCGCAACAACACACAGGGACAGCAGGGAAGAAAGGGGAAACTATTTCTCAGACATTTACATTTGGTTTTAATAGTCAGGGAGCCTTTTGGATGCATGGGTGGCATCCACACTTTTGCCACAGGGAAAAAAGGCAGCTTGGGCTTCATGCTGACATGTTCTGGGAGGAGCAGACTGCTGGGAAAATGAGGTTTTCCTCTTCTCTTGGACTCTATTAACACCCTATTTGTTTTAAACTGAAGCTAGCAGCTAGAGCGCACAGAACAGAGGGGAAAGACTTACAGTAGGGATGTGGAAAAAAGTAATCTACAAGGTATAAGGTCCCTCTCCCCCTGCTAGCCTTCACTCTGCTTTTCAGCATCACAACACAGAAGCAAAAATACATTTTAAGGCACACTCTTCTTGCACCCGCTTCCTTGACTTTCAGCAGTCTCAAATCCCTTGGGGCCATAGTCCTGCTCCCCCAGCAAGTTCTATTTAGTCTTCAGCTGGTTCCCCAGGCAGGCGGCTGGCTGCTGCTTTTGCCGACTGCTGGCACCATCTGCAGGCCCTGCAAGCGAGGGAGGATGAAGAACTTGGTCAAGTTTTTCACTCTTCAATTCCAGTGTCATTGCCAGTCAAAATGGGGAAGAGACAGATTGCCATGGGCTTTGGAGGGGTGAGTTTGGCAAAGCTGCCAGGATCTGCACACTGCTGCCTTAAGAAAATCCCAAGGCAACACTTTTAGTGGAAGGCAGTATGTTGTCACATGGATAACTCGGATTAAATTTTGTACTTCACATATGGATTAGACAAGGATTATGAACACTTCTGAAAATGTTATTTTCTCTTCCTAAGAGTTTGTTGTTGGCTAAGAGGGAGATGGGGTGTAACTCATTCTGGGACATTGCCCACGTCATCTGTTGAAAAAAAAAAAAAAAAAAAAAGCTTAAAACTTGGCTGTAAACCCCCTACCCACATGACTGCTTTCGTAATGGGACCGTTTGTGTTGCATTTACAGCTCTTTAGGCTCAGATTGCAACAGAGCAAGTGCTAAAGTGCCTCCTGAGGCAGCCAGCCTGATATTTCATGTGCTCACCCTTGCCTTGCTTCTGTAGGACCCGTCCTTTGGCGCAGTCAGCCTTGCTGTGCTGGACGGTGCTTGCAGGAGCATTGACTTTTGGCAGCACCTCTGCTGGAGTCCCCTCTGTCAAAGGCAAGGAGAGCTTCATTATAAACAGTGGAAGCAGAGCGCAGTTTAAGAACATTTTGCAATGCATGAGTTGCTAATAGCTAGCCAAAATAAAATATAGCATTATAAATCAAAAGTTAACAATTTTTTAATTAAAAAAAAAGTCAGTAAAACTAATCAGCATCAGTAAGCAACCCTTGCCCGAATGGGAAGGGATTCTGGCTACATTTTAATAGGATTTGCGTGTCAGGTTCCCCTAAACTCATCCTGGCCTTCTGTGTCTGCACAGTGCAGAACTGAAGCTGGCAGATGGTCAGTGCAGCCTGTCATCGCTTGTCTCCTTGCTGCAGCTCAGTTTGTATGGGCAGCTCAGTGAATGACTAAACCAAGACCAGCAACTTGTTGCATGTGAGCCCAGCTGAACACTAATTCTTCCCCCTGGATTACAGAGGAATAGCTGAGGCGGTGGTCTACAAAGGATATGCTTTCCTTACCCATCAAAAGCTACTTAGCCCATATAAAAAAAAATTAAGATCAGATTACTACTAGTTCTTATCATTAGCCTTTTCGCTCACTTATTTCTCACATCAACCCATCTTTTCCAGCAGAGCTGATACAGGATGTCACCAGTGGCTCTTTGGCCCCTACCTGAATGGTGGCCGATAGGAACCTTGACCTTTGTGGCGATGTATCCGCTGCTCACAGCTTTTGACTGATGGAAGAGTCTAGCTTGGTGCAGGTGGTTCTCCCAAGCTTTGGCTGTACTGGGGCTTGAGGGAGTCCAAGGCTTAGCTTTTGGGATCTGAAAGACACCAAGTTGAGTTAAGCTCAGTGGTGATGTCTCTCACCTCTGACTGTTGTCATGATTTACCAAAAAGATTCCCTGCCCACCTGACTGGCTGAGCTTGCTGTTCAGGCAGGAGGGCAAGGGCATTATAGAAGAATAAAGATATTTAACTTATTTCCTCCAGCAGTTTACACTATGTTTCTCTTACTGTATTTAAAAACCACCCTAGCTCCACGGGGTCTGTGTCTTCTGCTCAACCCATTCCCTTTAGAAAGAAACACAGAGGATGTACCCTATGGACGTTTGGTTCCAGAGAGCGAGATCTTTTCTTTGTGGCTGTCCTCCCAGCAGGCATCTCCTGGTCTCTCCTGTTCGTCAGCACTCCCCTGGCTGGGGAGCACAGCTGACTCCCAGCTGCAGGCTCTGATAGCAAACTCCTGCCACTTGCACTGTCTCTCCGCCGACACTCTGGGGGGGAAATGACCTCCAGATACTTCAGCTCAAGCAGATCCTCCTCAGAGACATGGGCTGAGGAGACTTTGCTCCCAGGGGCTCTGTGTTGGGCTCTGGAACGGCGGCTGGCTGCAATGAGGGAGATGCTTTTGGTGTTGGCAGCGATTTCTTTCAAGGACTCCAGACTCGAGGGAACAGCAGCAATGTCCACAGGTGACTTCTTCCCATGCAAGTCAAGAGAGGTGGGGGAGTGCAGCCTGGGAGTCATCTTTCCTGCGACAACACCTGCTGGTTTCTGCTAAAAAAAAAAAATCAAAGCATTGCAGCATAATTTGCTTTTCATTCAAAGCTTTTATACTTTTTCCCTTCAGAGCACTTTCAAACATTTGAAAGACATTAAATTTCACCTGAAATATTGTTATAAGAGCTTCTATGTATGGAGAAGCAAAGGCAAAGCTTTTTGACCGTATACCTCCTGTGCAGAGTCATGGCTACAAAATGAGTCAGACGGTGAGCAAGAGACTGATAAGCTCCCAACTCTCCCTCCTGTTCCAGGGTGCTGAGTGAAATCGGTCTCACCAGGCTGTCATCAAATTGGGACCCAGCAGATCAGTTAATGGGTAAAAGGAGGGGACCTGGACAGCACAGGTCCCCTCACACCAGATCGCATGGTGCACCTCTGCGTACAGCTCCTGTCACTCAGCTGGACATATTGGAGGTCGGGTGGTTCACGCAGAGGGAGAAGCCAAATTGGAGGTGGCAGCTAAACCTTGGCCTCCTAGGTGAGCCCCAAGCCTTAACCCCAAGGCCGGTGCTCTAGGAGTAATTTTATTGCCTGCCAAGTTTACCTTCCTCGCATACAATAGATGTAGCTGCTGG